GAAGACAGTCCTTTACCTTCAGAGATACATTCATATAAAACACCCGCAATGTGTTTTGATTTTAAAAAACGTGCAGTGCTCATGTTTATTCAACGAAGTCAAACGCCACAAATAAATCAATGTACGGCAAACACTGGTAATGTATATCGGAAATGTGTTTAAAAATCATATCACCGTTATTGAAAAAAATTATATTGCAATACATATTGATATTGAATTATTGTCCAGCCCTAAATTCAATAAAACCAAATGAAATTAATATAATATAATATTATTATACATTTAATTATGATATAAATGTATAATATTTAAATATTATATAAATTATACAAACACGTACATATATGCTGTATACAATTCATAATTGTATATTTAATTATTATAATTTATTTAATAACACATTAAATATGAAAAAGTCAAATGAAATGAAACTGAAATTAATCATAATGTAAATATAATTAATAATTTAAAACTATAATTAAATGAAAACATGTTTATATACATATATGTATGTGTGTGTGCGCTGTATATTATTCATAATTATTATATTTATTTATTATAATAATTATAGTTTATTTACACACACATACTTAATACATGTAAGATGAAATTAAACCTGAATGAAATTAATTAACAGTTAAATATGATTACATATACATGTAAACTACTAAATATGTATAATTTAATGTAATTATAATAATTACAAACATTCTATGACTATATACATATATGTAATATATAATATACTGTATATGCGTGTGTGTATGCTGTATATTATTCATAATAATTTTATATTTTAATATAGTTCATTTAATAATACTAATATATAAAATTAATAAAAACCAAATAAAATGGTAAATATAATATATATTATATATATATATATATATATATATATATATATATATATATATATATATATATTGCACAACACTCCCTATTTTTTATATATATATATATATATATATATATATATAAAATTGATTCCATTTGGTTAATAGTCTTGTAATACATGTAATAATGTATTTATTGTTCATTTATGGGATACATTTTGCAATAATGACCGGCTGTATATTTTTACCCCTCACATATAATGCTTATCTTTTAACTGTGAGCTCACATTTGCCGCTGTGCAAAACGAGAGAAAAACCACTAAATGCTGCCTCATGGTAACATGGCAGCTGGCACTAACTCTCCACCACACATTCCCAGTGCACCACTTTCCATGCATTTTTTCCAGCTGTTCTAATTTCACCATATATTGTCATGGTGCCAGAAGACTGCCTGGCCAAAGAGCCTCTAATGACACTGCCGTTTGTTAAATTGTTGTGGAAATGCATAAGGACCATATGTGTAATGTTTTTTACTCTGGAATAGATATAATGTAGTAGATATAATTTATTTCAATCAAAAGCTGTTAAATAGAGTTAGACTGTAATTCAAACATCACATTTAGTTTTGAAAACGAAGACATAATGTGTATATTAGAGCCCGACCGATATGGGTTTTTTGGGGCCAATACCGATACCGATATTTGGGAGTAAAAAAAGGCTGATATCGATATATTGGCCGATATTCTTTGTATATATTATAGTACAGTACCAGTCAAAAGTTTGGACACTTTCTCATTCGTGTGTCCAAACATTTGACTGGTACTATATATAGAATACAGTATATACATAAACAGAATATATATACATACACATTTTTTGCAGTGATCACTCAAATGTGGTGATCAAACACTTATAATGACGTGACAAAGATATGTAAGGATGGAGGCAGGGCATTTAACAATAAACTTTATTCAAAATGAGTCTGACATCAGTGCACTGAACAGTAAAGTTTAAGTTTATTCAACTTTAATTCAATTCCATTCAACTTTATTCCATTGAAGTTTATTTCACTTTGGAACATTCATTCACGGATTTGCACTACTGTCTTCACACACAGACGAAACTTACTAGAGAAGTGTGACATAATTTACCTCTGTAAATAAACACTTTAACGCCCTTTAAATGTAACGTGTATGTTCCCTTGGTGAAGTGAAAGTGTTGGCTGGTGTCACTATCTCGCGAATGCGCCGGCGGATCTCCACCAAATTCGGGGGATCCCTTCAGCTCGAGGAGCCCTCTCGACGCCACCCTCCGCGTGTCAGTAGCCCCCCGGTATCGCTAGATCGGTCGGCGCCGATCCGCAAATTTAACCGCCCGTAACTCCCGAACCCGGGGGCTATCGACGCGGAGGTGGTCTCATTCGAAAGAGGGCCTCGAGACGTACACTCGATTCGCGTTCTAGATGGTTCCTCGAGCTGAAGGGATCCCCCGAAATTTGGTGCAGATCCGCATCGCCGTTACAGCGATATGGCCGTTCAAAGTTTCAATGGTTTTCCATAGACTTAAGCTTTAAAGCGTTTCATCCAGGTCGCCAGTAGCAAACAATAGAGCACGCTCTGCTGGACAAACTAAGTAATTACACCATTTCAAGCATTTTATCTGCGTTAGATGTTCTGTAGAAAAAAAATTTATATCGGCGGCATATTCGCCGATACCGATATATCAGCGACAGGCTCATATCGGCCGATAATATCGGCTAAACGATATATCGGTCGGGCTCTAGTGTATATGTTGAAAGATCCAGGGTTTAAAAGACTAATTTCTGTAGAGGACATTTGTATTAGCCTTATAAGAAATAAAAGCTTATATTTTAGTCCGTGGTAACACAACAGTGCAACACAAGCGCAAAAAGGACTGATACGGATCATCTGTCCCTCAACTACTTTATCAAACGGTTTACAAGAATTCAACATTTAGAAAAGTCTCCGTAATGATGTGCCACATGTTTCCCAAGCAAACGGAGGATCCTAGTTTGATGACTGGTGAAGTGGAAAATCCATGTTGGTTTTAATAAATAAACTCTGCTTTCTAACCTCATGTTGCCTAGGAGACGACAAACTCACTGCAGGGTTCATAGCGCTGCCCAGAGTGACCAATGCAGCCAGACCAATGTTTACTTACCAGAATGTGCACTGAAAGTTTGATATCTGTTTAATATGGCTGGAAACAATCCATACCACTTTTCAAAAATCAGATTACAACAACTTAAAGTGATAGGAGATATTAAAGCTAAAGATGAGAAATAGACTCACGTGATCTACTTCATTCCACCGTTCAGTGTTCTGAATGAGAGTTCTGGAAAAATGTGTCTTTCCAGTCTTATTATCGGTTTCCTAGAGGAAAACCAGGTGTTAGTTATACAAGGCAAATCAATATACAAGGCAAAAGACATATAAGCACAGTGCAGTCCTGTTAATGCAATGTAGTGCAAATAAAAATCTAAATCAGATCAAGTACAAGCCAATAAACAGAGTAGAATAAATAAGAAATACCTTGTCGATTCTCTCCATCAGCTGGACAGTCCGATTTCCAACCTTGATCACTGTCGTAGTTTCATTGTGAAAACTGGCAGGAAAGTTGCGTCCATGTAGCAACGATTTTGAAGACTCATTCTCCATCTGATTCAAATAAGATTAATAATAATAGATGTGAATGTTTTGATTGTAATTCTTACAATACATTGCAAAATCGGATATAAATATTACGATTCATTTTAGCGAATCAGTTCATTTCAAAGAATCAGTTCAAAAACGATTCGGTAGTATTACACACATATGCATACATATATATATATATATATATAGCCTATATATGCGTGTGTGTGTACTGGTTTATATATCCTGGTGGGGACTTAAACCTGACTACACACAGACTCATGGGGACTCGTGTCACGGTGGGGACCTAAATTGTGGTCCCCACGGGTACAAAAGCTTATAAATCATACAGAATGAAGTTTTTTGAAAATCTAAAAATGCAGAAAGTTTCCTGTGAGGGGTAGGTTTAAGGGTAGAGTTGGTGTAGGGCAATAGAATATACGGTCTGTACAGTAAAAAAAAACATTAAGCCTATGGAGAGTCCCCACAAGGATAGCTGACCAGACATGTGTGTGTGTGTGTGTGTGTGTGTTTTCGAATAAGTTTTATTAATAACACTATTTATTGAAATTTGATGTGTTCCAGTTCACTTTGTTTCAGCTATAAACTCATAAAAAGTAATTTAGAAGCTAAATATACTTACATTTACGCTGAACACTACTAAAATTAATCTACATCGGTAAACATTTTGCACATTTTAATAGCCTACATTTGTTATTTATTAAAAACCATGTCTGTTGACTCGGTTCGCTCAGGTTCGTTCGAGGTTTTGTGAACCGGTTTAAAAAGGTCCACTGAAAAGATCCGACTCAAAAGAAAAATTCGTTTATGAATCGGTCAGCGATAATCCTCCTGTACACTCAAAGCACCATGGCGCAAAACAACATTTAAATGTTAATCTACTAGGATTGTTTTTTAATCTAGTTATACCTGGTGAACAGCCTCCTCTAGTTTTTGTTGCGTGTCCTCCATCAGTTTTTCCACTTCCCTGAACATCTCGTTTAAAGTGGTTTGTCCCTGGGCCACATGCTCCTCCAGGGCCTCGGTGATGTCCAGATGTCCCCCGCTGTGGACTGAGCTGCCCACCACAAAGCCGACGCAAAGGGATAATATCACAAATTTCAGCATCGTTTTGTGCTTAGGCGAGTCACCCCTGGCGGGAATCACAGACCCTGTCTGTGCCTGGGACGTGGATTATTTGGAAACTTCTGAGGGGAAAAAAAAGACCGGAAAAGGTTTTTGGCTTTTATTTAACTTTTAAATAAATTGTAGGCAATATTTATAATTATTTATAAGTTGCTGTGTAGTCACAGCTGGGCTTTCAGTCCAAATCGATTTTTACGGCTCCTTGTTTCAACATGAATTAGTCTGTTTTTGTTCCATATTGACTCATGATCACGTCTCATTGCACTTTGGGCTTCTTTCAATGTGCATGAAGTGTGTGCACATACTTGAATAATCCAGTAGATGGCGGCAGAGTACGTCTCGTTCACCACTCATTCGCTGCCTATCCTAATGAAGCACCTGCCAGCATGTGTGCGATTAAACTGAGCTGCTTGTGCCAGCAGAGCCATTCCTCAGTTGTAGGTAAGACTAAATGCACGCTTATCATATTTATCAAGACTTAAACGCTAGCCTACTACAGTAGCATATTGTTTATATAAAGAGGATAGTATTAAAAAAGAATGAAAAAATAGGTTTGGCGTGAAGATATGCTTTTGATGGTCTATTTTCTGGGAGTTTGGTAAAATTGGATTGCATGTTAAACCAGGTGCCTGGAACACGAGGCGTCTGTAGGATAGCGGGTACAGGGCAGTAAAAGATCAGATGCAACTAGTGTGTGTGTGTGTGTGTGTGTGTGTGTGTGTGTGTGTGTGTGTGTGTGTGTGTGTGTGTGTGTGTGTGAGAGAGAGAGAGAGAGAGAGAGAGAGCGAGAAAAAGTTAGACTCAGTGCGCGAGCTGCTGGCACGCGCCGCGTTGACAGAATACACTGTTGCCATTCAGATGAAGATAACAGTGTAATATTAAAACAAATAAATGTTCGATATGTTACAGTAATGAAAGAGCAAATATTACACAGGTAAGTCTTTAATAAACAAATAGATAATGGCAGGTTTGTGTTCTGTTGTGTGAAATAAAGCAGTTGTTTAAAAAAACTGCAATGGAGAGAGAAAGTTATATTTATGATAGTCAGTTGTGAGAAATAAAGTTGTAATTGTCAAAGTTGTAATCGTGAGAAAGTTACGGTAATGAGGAATAAAGTTTCAATTGTAACAAAAAGTGGTTTGTAGTTTTTCACAACCCAGCTGAGAAGAGCATCTGGACACCTGTATTTATAGAGTTGCTTTATGGTGACATTTGATGTCTTGAGAGGATTGATACTAAAAGTGTTGAACCGTTTATATTAATACCCAGTTGACTGGCTCCGTTATTTTAATTAACTACAGATATGTAGTTTTGCATGTTGTTGTAAAGGTTACTAAGAGTTTTCCATTTGTAAAATGGCAGTGTGTGAGACCAGAGTTGGCCTAAATCCATTCATTCTAGTGAATACATGGTTTACAGTTGGTCGTCCTGTTGTGGTGTAGCGGAAAGACTTTAATTCAGAGTAAAACTTTGAGTTGAAACCGTTTGGGTGTTTTGTGTTGACATTTGACCTGCTTGTCTGGAGCGGCTTCACGTTTAAAGTCTTTGACTTCCTCCTTGATGTTTCCTTTATAATCCTTCCTATGTTCCCAGTAGGTTAGAGGAAGTGGAAAGTTGTGGGTTTGTTATCGTAAGGATCATATTAGAGGTCGATCGAAATGGGTTTTTCACTGGCCGATGTCGATATTTAGAAATCAGGGCAGCCGATGGCCAATATATGATGCCGATTATTTTTTGGTCGATAGATTTGGCCGATTTTCTTTTTCTTTTTCTTTTTTTTTCATTTATCTCATAAAAGTGAGTTTGAGCAAATTATTATTGCAGGGTACAAGATAGTAGTAATATTAGTAGTAGTAGCAGCCCAATTTAGAGTAATAATACATGGCTCAAAACAGTTCTGAAGCATGCTTTTTGTTTATGTTTGCTGACAGACACCAGTGTTTCCCACAGACTGCAAATTAATTAATTTTAATTAATTAACTTTGGGAGCTGGAGATATAGCGGTTTCCCCGGTAACGGCTGTAATCAAATAAGCACTGCGCTCACAAACGCTACTTTATTAGGCATTACAGGAAAAGACAAAATGAAAATGACATCGAAGCTTTTCTGAAGACAGTCGGTTCTTTTCAAAGATGTATTCATATAAAAACACCAGTGCTGCATTTTAATTTTGAAACGTGAAGCGCTCAATTTATTCAACGAAGTATAAGCCTTTTGGAAAATCTATTTGTGGCGGTCAGTTTTGATATTGTGACGAGCCGTCACAAATAACTCGATGTATAGGAAACACTGGACACTGCTATAAGTCAAATGGCCATAGTGATAACAAAAATAAAAGATTTCACACATATTACACAGCCTGCTGCTCATAACTGCTTAAGAGTGCACTGGCCACGAGCGATGACATCGTAGACCCACAGACAACATTTCATGAGGAAAGTTAACGTGCACGTTATAATCAGCCCAGAAGTTTTGTCTGAATTGAACGGGTTTCTACTTTCACATGCAAATGACTTGTTGCACTTATGAATATGATAACTTTTCGGCATCAATTCTAGTTGGGTAAAACGTAATTCCACTTTCGAAAGGGTCTGTTTTGCCCTGCCATTAGCTGAAGCTGTGCGTGAACAAGCCGCCGCTGTAGAGTGTGAGCTGCTCCGTCTCACGCAGTCTCAGAGGGAGTTCCACAACAGCGCTTAGCTGCCCGCCGGTGCGCCTGCCTATAAATCAGCTTAATTTGCAGCACAATCGGCCGATGACGATTAATTAAAAAATGCCAAAAATCGGCCGGCCGATCGATCAATCGGTCGACCTCTAGATCATATCATCCACGCAATGGGATCAGTTAAAGATGCTGTCTGAAATCTTGATGTCTGCAGGGTACAGTATCTGACGGAATCTCAGAAGAAGAGGGCAAAAAACTTTATTTATGGAAAGATGATTCTGTTTTAAAAGTAGGATTATGTACCCCAGGACTTCATTAGCCTACTGTCGAGGCTTTGAACCTGCAGTACATTGCTGCATGGCTATAGAATCTCACCATGGTAGAACTTGAAACTTGAGACCTGTCTATTCTGAGCAGGTGCCACCAGAATGTTTCTCCATGTTATATGGATGCCCATGTCCGCCTCAGAGTGAAAAATAAAATGAGTAAAAGCCCATTCACATCATGAACGATAACCGTTCTGTTTATTCTAAGCACATGCTGCAGTTTTGTCATCTTTAAAGCAGGATAGATTCTAATTGGCTGTCAGTGTTTTTAATCATTCATCAGCTGAAAAAAATAATTTTGAAAGGGATTCCAACAATATTGTTCCTCTGTGTCGTTATCATTGTAGTTGAGGTGTAGACTTTCCTATTCCAATAGATCTAGAAGGATTTTAAAAACTTTATAGTTACCGTTGTAGTTATTATCTTCCTTGGTGTGAGCGGGCATTAATTGTTGCAGAAAATTTTAAAAGAAATATAAAGTCATAAAAAGTCCTATTGAGGGATTTATCACAAGTCAAAATGTGCAATTCCGAGAAATGAATTTGCCGTTACAAGAAACAAAGCTGGAATTGTGAGATGTAAAGTTGCTCAATCAGTTGCTGGTTTCTAAAGGATCATGTGACACTGAAAACTGGAGTAATGATGCTGAAAATTCAGCTTTGCCATCAAAGGAATATATTTACATTTTAAAATCTAGTCAAATAGAAAAGGTCTTTTGAATTGTAGTAATATTTTACAAGACTACTGTTTTTATTGTGTTTTTATCAAATAAATGCAGCCTTGGTGAGCATAGTAGAGAAGATCAACTTCCCGTTTGTGTGCTCCTGTAGGTCACATGATTAATCTTAGTGTTGTAGGAATGTTGGCTCTTAGGAATTCCAGTTTGAAGTGGTGCCACTTTCTGTTATAACCACTGGTATACGGTTGAACCTGGGTTAGTCCATATTTGACCCAACATTGGGTTGAAACAACCCAGCATTTTTTAGAGTGTAGTTTTCAATGACCATTAATGATAGACAGGATGGGCAAATGTGCATGATCCTGTTGAAAAATATCTTTGAAAGCAATGGCAAAGGGTGTTAATTTAAATTCCCTTGCTTGCAGTTGTGCCATCTGTCGAGAGGGTGTTCCTAGAAACATAATATGATTTGTAGCTTCTAAATGAGGCCTGGCTTGCTGTTTTTCTCACTCACAATTATGATTTTCTGCCAGGACAACTTTCCTGGCACGTCTTCAAGAAATATCCCCTACTGCATTTTCAGCATGGTTAAATTTAGCAATGGGAACTTTCCCACACTGCATTGGCTGCACTGACCATTGGTGACCTAAAAACGCATTGCTTTCATTGGTCCTTGGAGAATTCAGAAACAAGGAATTTGGGTTATGCTATATTTTTGTGTGTGTTTTTGAGAGTGGATGGTAGAGGACCAGTGATAATAATGGTACAAACTGTGGACGTGGCCGCACAAATGAATCAGGAGAGAGCCGCAAATGCCGCCATGCAGATAAATGAGAAGGTCTTGCCAGCTGCCAGATTTGATTAGGTCGGTGAGACTCAAGTGACCCTCAGAAGTGTTAATGGAGAGAAAGATGCAGGACTGCTATTGGGCTCAAGCTTTCGACAAGTCTGCTCACTCATTCAGATGACTTCCGACAACACGCATTCAAATCATTCACATATCAGTGCGTTCTGGTTTCACTCCCAAATCAACTCTTCGTTCGAAACTGTAAAAGGATTGATTTCCCCAGTCCATTTACCTGAAGGACACATTGAGAAATGCATGATGCTATTATTTACACTCTTCTGTGGATACATTTTGCAGAATGTGTTGGCAGCTCAAATATTTTCTGTCTCACAGGTTGTCTTAGTGCTGGGCGGTATGACCAAAAATTTATGTCACGGTATTTTTCAAAATTATACCGATTTCACGGTACATGCATAACCGGGTGTTAATCATATTTTCTACTGATTGAGAGGGGAAATACTGCAGTATATTGACTTAGAATGCCTGATTTTACTGTCATGATGAGTGAATATTGTCAAAAAATACCACACTAAATAGTGACTAAACACGACCCCTTTTAATACATGTTAACCAGGAGTCACTCTCATTTATAATCGCGGCATCGTCTCATAAAATCAAAATGCATCGGCACTAAAGAGCGGCTATGCGGTTGCTTTGGCTATATTACTTTGTCTCATGCAGCGCACTGCCTGCATCTGAGTAACAAACAAAAAAAAAAACGACAAACAAAAAAGTGAATGTGATATTAACGGATATTTATAATTCCAAACAATCAGTAAGCGACAGGTGCTAGGAAATGCTGTTTTGTACTCATTTATTGACGAGTCTGCTGCGGTGCGGCCAACTGAATGCGCTGCTTCTCTGCCGCTCACTGCACAGAACAGACGCTGAGAGAGGTGACACTTCTCCGGGAAAGTCAGACCTCGCGTTCACGGAACAGAACTGGCAAAATCTTCCAACTGAACCATAGCTAAGGTTTATCAAAAAAAAGTCGCTAGGTTTGTCAGTATGAATATTCTATGGAAAAAAAGCAGCTTAAAGGGTCTGAAAGTTGCTAAATCTAGTTCTAAAGTCGTGCTCGTGTGTGAGAGATGCGGAAGCTGATGGCAGGGGGCGGTGGATATTTGTGGCGGTCAATGTGGATGTCATCACGTTCTATTAGTTCTACAGCTTCAGTTTCGGAACTTTCACGCTTAGTAACACATACAGCTGTTCCCTCACCACAGTGCAACAGTGAAAAGGGACCCCTTTCAAACAGTGTCGCATTCCGAACGTTTAAGCGACATACACCAGTATTGCGGTATTTTAAAAATTAATATCATAACAAAAATAAACACCGGTATTCGTTATGAACCGGTATACCACCCAGCACTAGGTTGTCTACAACTGGGCCAATCTTGGTGTCCTGATTCTCATTAAACATTCCTTTGTTCTGTCCCGTTTGCTCTGCATGCATTAATCCTATCAAGCACGCGCCTCTTCTGGCCTATTTTACAACACATGCCAAGTGTTTTTGTGTCACTCAGCTGAAAATCTAGAGCATTTTCATTTGATTTACCAGCAGTTCTTCAGGACAGATGCCTTTTTTCCAAGGCATTGTCTGTCCAGATAGCCAAAGATTGACGTGTGTATACATTGTTATTAGGTATTAGTTTGGACGGTTGACTAGTTGTCCAGCTATTGACTATTCCTTCCTTCCTTCCAAAATTCCAAATATGATATTCCCCTTGCATGGAACACCACATTTCTCAAATATATATATTTTAAAAACGACAACATTAACGGTTTACAATTGGCTTTTATATTGTCATTGTCAAAGCAAATTGTAAAAATGATCAGGAAATTGTTTGTTGGTTTATTTTTATACTTTTATGTATTTTATTATTTATTTACCTTTTTACTTTTGCTGGATTGTATCTTTTCACATTTTATTATTTAGTATTATGCATTATACCAAATTATTTGTTGAATGTAATTTTTTTTTAAATCACTTAATTTTTCTGAGTTTATTCCTAGTTTTAAAAGCCCTGCTTTTTTATGAAATTATGTAGTTGTGTATATATATCCCTAATTCTTATAAGGACAGTGCAGTTTCATTGATATAATTGACCTTTATATACAAACAGCATTGAAAGGCTGCAATCAGAGCCCTAAAGCAGTAAATGAATGTAGGCGATGTGAACTGCCTACCATTTTTAGTAATTTCACTGCACTGTATACCCATATATAGGATGTTTTTTTTCCCACATACTAATGGATGATTGCAGATCATGAAATTTATGGCACTTTGGTCCCCATGTAGAAACAAATCAAGCCCTCTCTTCCTTTTCTTTCTCCAGTCTTGAAAAGGAATGCCTGCACCAATCAACCCCTGACTGAATCCCTTGTCAACAGAGGGAAGGCGTGAGTTAAAAGTTGAAGGATGGGGGAGACGGAGGACGAGCGTACGTCTCAGGCCGGCCAGCTGTTTGAGAACTTCGTGCAGGCCACTACCTGTAAAGGCACCCTGCAGGCCTTCAGCATCCTCTGCAGGCAGCTGGAGCTGAACCTCTCTGACCACAGAGGCTTCTACAGCAGCCTTAAAGCTGCCGTCACCTTCTGGAAGGCCAAAGGCCTCTGGGGGAAACTGGACAAGAGAGCCAGCCACAAGGAGTACAGTAAGGGCAAAGCCTGCATGGACACCAGAGTAAGTCTGTAGAGCTCTAGATGTAATTAAAATCTCACACTTCTTAGAGGAAGCAAAAAATCTTTAAATAATTTTTTTATTTAAAAATTTTGCGCCTTTATTTGTGATTTTATTTTTGCTTTGTTCTTTTTTTTATATTTATTTTATTGTTATATCTGTGCTTTTGTTTTGTTCTGTGTTTTTTTTATTTTTTATTCTGTGCTTTGTTTTGATTAGTTTTTTTTCTTGTGCTTTTTTTTTATTTTATTTTGTATTTATTTAAATTATTATTTTTATTTTATTTATAATTTAACAGAACCCAGTTTTTTTTGTAATCATCACATTTGATTCAACCTCACAAATACTATATCAACAATAACGGCCTTGTGTCCAACACCAGTGGTATAACTGTGTTTCCTTCCTAGTGTAACTGATGTTGACATTCTTATATTTTCAGGTATTCGTCAGCTGCAACTCATGCTGTTAAAGATTGCTCTCATTGTTGGGGTTGAGGTGCACGTCAACGTGGAGTTTGTCAAGCTTCTCGAGCCGCCTGAGGGCCAAGGCACTGATGGTAATTGGCCAATCATCATGACATCTAGCTTTGAAGACTACATTGAACACAGTGTCTCTTAGCTCTCGTTTACTGTCCATGAAGCACCCTGACAGACCTGAGATGCCTGATGTAATCCCACACAGCCATAAACTAACTATAAATATGTCCAAGACAGCCCGTCACTTGTTTTTTTTTTTTACACCTCATGTGGTCTGGAAAGGGTTGGGTAATCATTACCTTTCATCTTATGTCATTTCTTGGCGGATTTACACACGCCAGTCTCCCTACACGCATATCCTCTCACACACACACACCCAGGACAGTGTGTTTAGGAATGAGATCACAGACAGAAAGAAGCTTTATCAAATTTCTATTGTTTACACTCTGGGCTATATTTCTTGCAGCCTATTTGACTAGTTAACAAAGTTAGTTAGGGAATGCTCATCATTTTCTCTTTAAAAGTGTCTATGTAATTTTGACACCCACAATGGGCCTAACACTGCTTGAATGTCAATTTACCAAGGGACTGTTGTAACTTCCTACTTCAAGATCCTAATGGATTTACGGAAGCAAAAGCAGGGCTAAACCAGATCATGAAAATGGACACCTTCCCACTATGTATCCTTGACGCACATACACAGCTGATACTGAGAAGGTTTGTGTCATTCCTCCACGTCAATGGCACTCACCAGTCTGCATTGTGCAAATGATAAACCCTCAGTTCTGTACTATATATAAAGTCAGGGGTCATTGGGGTCTATAGCGCCTCTCATGCTATGCATTGCTGGTCAAAAGAGCATCATTAGCCTTATGTCAAATTATACAGGCTTCATACATTGATGGAACATGAAGGTTGTGTTTCCCGATACAAGTAAGCTTTTTTCCCTGGTGGCTTCACACACTCAGCTGGCTGTACTTTTAAAACTGTGGTAAACAAAAGAAAGACCAAATTATTTTGTTTTCCTTTGAGTCTCTCTGACCAGGTGTCTGCATTCCAGGGCCTGGATGGAGGGCAGAGGTCCGGCCGGCCGATCACCAAATCTCAGACTATGAGTTTGATGTGATAATTGGAGCAGATGGAAGGAGAAGCACTCTTGATGGTAAGCACATATTTCGTTTATATAAAACTACAAATAACATTTCCCATTTCACCATACGTAGTTTCTAAATGGCTTGGGTTTGAAATAGAAGTGTTTGTCTTAACTTTATCCTCTTGTAAATGAAGGAATTCTGTTGGTAATGAAATGATCATATCTTCTAAACAATCATATTCTCCTTGTAAAAAATTTTACTTCCTCTAAGGACTCAATATTAATCTTGCCTGAAATATTCCTGGTACTCAGCTGGCAGAACATGATGGTAACAGTCAATGTTTTTTCTTTTTAAATCACTAGATGTAGTGATGGCTGAGGCAGCATATATTTGCAAATGATGTCCAATGTCAAGGCTTTTATTCCCAGGGAATGTGCTAGATTTCATATATCATGTATATCATATCATTATATGAATATCATTATTTATTTGTATATATTTAATTATATAGCTATATTACTATTATTTGCTTTTTTTAACATGTCACAAATGTTATTAGTAATATAAGTAGTAATATAGAAATTATATATTAACTATTATATATCTCAAATTTTATTTTGAGTATTCATCGAGTATTTCTTTTTGTGATGATGACAATAATAGCAACAATTTTATATATATATATATATATATATATATTATAATATAGATAATTACTAATTGAGTATTCGAGTATTTATTAGAAGAAAAGAAATACACACTGCAATTGTCTGTGAATGGCACACATTTAGCGCCTTCCGGCTGGAATCTTTTTATCTTATGAGATTTGGCTCTCTCAAGCATAATAAACCTGCTAAAAGGCTTTAACATGCTCACTCAGTCAAGAAAATTGCCCCAGTGACTCCAATGTCCAAAAACTGTCCGTCCTACATTCATTCCTTGAGAAAACGGGTCAGTTCTTTGTGTTTGACAGGACGTTTTAACTCTCTACAGGAGGGGTGGAGCGGGACTCCTTTCATTGCTTCCTGCTGACACAGTTAGGAAGCTCACAGACATTGAGCAGAAGAACAGATCCTAGATCAGACTTTAATCGGCTCTCCAAGTTAGAACAAGAAACCTTTGAACCATGCTGTGCTAAATTACACCCAGGCTTGATAGTGGTGGTAAACAAACACTTGGTGTATAAGTGCTAACATGAAAAGTAAATATATTATGTTTCTTTTATCACACAGAAAGGTGCAAAGACTGTATTGTGTAATTTGTTGTTGTGCAAACGCTTTTGTTTTGCACAGGTCAGTGTGACCTGAAAGGTCTTGCACTTTTATTTTTGCAAATATACGCTGCCTTAGCAATTACTTTATCTATTGATTTAAAAATATATATATTGACTGTTTTAAAGCACCTTGCATCTTACTTGTCACTAAAAAAAAATCTTTTTTTTTTTTTTTTTTGATTCAAGGTTAATATCTAAAATTTTGGGAAATAATATTCATGGTCTGCTCTCAATTTTTGTTTAAAACTACATTTGTACAGATGCTGCCATATGTTCTGAATTCTTGTTGCTGTGCAGTTGTCAACAAGTTACATGTTTTATTACATGTTTTATAGTTTGCCATGCGACAACAAAGCTGGATCAGATATAACAGTAATAGCACACTCCAAAAAAAAAACCCGCTAAATGTGAGCAATAAGAATAGTGATGCTTCTGTTAGCAATCAACACTAAATGAAAACCATGAATGCAAAGCATTATATTGCTCTCTGCTCTAGGCTTCAAGAGAAAGGAGTTTAGAGGGAAACTAGCAATTGCCATCACTGCAAACTTTGTCAATCGCAACACGACAGCTGAGGCCAAAGTGGAGGAGATCAGCGGAGTGGCCTTCATCTTCAATCAGAAGTTCTTCTTGGAGCTCAAGGAGGAGACGGGTGTGGTGAAGCTCCTGCATTACGGACACAAAATCTGGCTGCATTCTTTAAGGAACATGTCATCATATTTAATGTTTTTAAAATACAAATTATATAAAAAAATTACAAATCCTAACACATTAGTGTCCCCCATCAGTGTGTAATGGTTCCACTCCTTAAAGGGTTAGTTCACCCAAAAATGAAAATTCTGTCATTAATTACTCACTTTCGTGTTGTTCCAAACCCGTAAGACCTTCGTTCATCTCCGGAATACAATTTAAGATATTTTTGATGAAATTTGAGGGCTCTCTGACCCTCCCATAGACAGCAAGGTAACTACCACGTTCAAGGTCCAGAAAAGTACCAAGATGATCGACAAAGTAGTCAGTGTGACATCAGTAATTCAACTGTAAAGTTACGAATCTACGAGAATACTTTTATGCGCAAAGAAAACAAAAATGACAACAAAGCTGGATCAGATATAACAGTAATAGCACACTCCAAAAAAAAAACCCGCTAAATGTGAGCAATAAGAATAGTGATGCTTCTGTTAGCAATCAACACTAAATGAAAACCATGAATGCAAAGCATTATATTGCTCTCTGCTCTAGGCTTCAAGAGAAAGGAGTTTAGAGGGAAACTAGCAATTGCCATCACTGCAAACTTTGTCAATCGCAACACGACAGCTGAGGCCAAAGTGGAGGAGATCAGCGGAGTGGCCTTCATCTTCAATCAGAAGTTCTTCTTGGAGCTCAAGGAGGAGACAGGTGTGGTGAAGCTCCTGCATTACGGACACAAAATCTGGCTGCATTCTTTAAGGAACATGTCATCATATTTAATGTTTTTAAAATACAAATTATATAAAAAAATTACAAATCCTAACACATTATTACCATCAGTGTGTAATGGTTCCACTCCTTAAAGGGTTAGTTCACCCAAAAATGAAAATTCTGTCATTAATTACTCACTTTCGTGTTGTTCCAAACCCGTAAGACCTTCGTTCATCTCCGGAATACAATTTAAGATATTTTTGATGAAATTTGAGGGCTCTCTGACCCTCCCATAGACAGCAAGGTAACTACCACGTTCAAGGTCCAGAAAAGTACCAAGATGATCGACAAAGTAGTCAGTGTGACATCAGTAATTCAACTGTAAAGTTACGAATCTACGAGAATACTTTTATGCGCAAAGAAAACAAAAATAATGACTTTATTCTGCATTTTTGTCTCTACTGCGTCACTTTGGACGCACGGTTACGACAGTATCATGACGCGAGCGTGTGGCGGCGCCGACGCTGACCCAGATCTGGCGTGATGACGTCATTACGCCGGATCTGGGTCAGCGCCGCCACACGCTCGCGTCATGATACTGTCGTGAAAGCACGTCCACAAGTGTGCAAAAAAGTATTCTCGTAGCTTCGTAACTTTACAGTTGAACCACTGATGTCACACGGACTACTTTGTCAATCATCTTGGTACTTTTCTGGACCTTGAACGTGGTAGTTACCTTGCTGTCTATGGGAGGGTCAGAGAGCCCTCATGTTTCATCAAAAATATCTTAAATTGTGTTCCGAAGATGAACAAAGGTCTTACAGCTTTCGAACAACACGAGGGTGAGTAAATGATGAAATAACTTTCATTTTTGGGTGAACTAACCCTTTAAAGTGAGCAAAACTGGATTGTAATCATCTTCTGAGACAGATGCCATCTTGAATATGCTCTCATCAAACTTAATGGAGCTTAATTCATTCTACACAGCGATTAATAAAACACTAGCAACAAAAATAGTCGCACAATCATGCTAATGGACCTCATTTATCTTTTGTACAGGCATTGATTTGGAAAACATTGTCTATTACAAGGACAACACGCACTACTTTGTCATGACTGCAAAGAAACAAAGCTTGCTGAACAAGGGTGTGATCATTAATGTGAGTAAATATTTTAGTAACATTTAGTAATTTTATAGATTTTTATATATTAATTTGTATGCATGGTAGTATTTGTTGTAGTGCCGTTTAGTTGCATTTAATTTTTTATATAATTTAATGTAATTTTTTTTTTTTTTTTGACAATGTTTTCTTTTAGTTTCTAGAGGTGGGTGTCATCATATGCCATATCTAGTTACATTTTTTATTTGATTAGTTTTTCTAATTTATTTAGAATTAAAAAAAAAATTATTATTATATATATCTCTGAATGAATTATGTATTGTATTATCATAACATTAGTAAGACTAACATACATTTTAGGATATCTATCCTCCTTTTGCTTTAATAACAGCAGCTCTTAAACGGCATAAAACTTAAATATTTAGTCATTTTAAATGTTAAATTTTTCTTTCTTTTTTTAAGTTTAAACATTCCAAAAATGTCCATTTATTTTGTGGTTTAAAAAAATGTAATCCTCGATTTTTAATCATCTTGAACACTTTGACCCCACAGTATGTCTAAAATTACACACAGGAAAAGATAGTTTACTTAAGGTTTAAAAATTCCTGATTATTTCAACATGCCTGTTGACTGTACAGCGTTTTGTTTAGAGTGCCCTGTAAACATGCAGTGTTTTTCTCTGTCTCATTGGTCTCCAGCCTTTCTGGCCCATGGGGACAGGATGTGCTCGAGGGTTTCTGGCTGCCTTTGACACAGCGTGGATGATAAAGGGTTGGGCTCAGCGCAAAGAACCCCTTGATCTTCTGTCAGAGAGGTGCGAACACACTCCATCAACCAATGAAACATATTTGGTCATGTTTTTTAATAATTTGTTTGTCATGACCCAATGTCCTCTTTGTTTGTTTATTATAGGGAGAGCATCTACAGGCTGCTGCCTCAGACGACGGCAGAAAACATCTCAAAAAACTTTGAGCAGTACACCATAGACCCAGCCACACGCTACCCCAACCTCAACTCCACCTGCGTACGACCACATCAGGTGAGACTGACACACATTATCACTATACATAGATCCATATGCATCTGTCTTCCTCCTGTAAATGCTAAACTTCCTGTCTCAGGCGCGGCATCTGTACATTAATGGCGAGCAGGGCTTGAGTTCTCTGGAGCGCAGTGGACACACACGCACATCCGTAAACATCTCCAGACGAGGTAGGTTCAAAATTTGTGTCTTATGAAGATGGCAGCAGATGTGACTGCCTGATTCTGTTTTGTTGAAACAGTCCTTTCAGGGACTGCAATCACAAGAATCAATGCAAATTCAAGCAATCCCTGCAATTGCTTTGCAATTTTGTCTTATTTCTGCATTTCCACTTAAAATTGATGGAAAAAGAAAGCAATATCTGGTAATGATTCCCCTGGCATGTTCCCCTTTATCATGCTACTCTTGACAAAAAAGCTCTTTATAAAACTCCATATTGAAAAATTGAACTTGTTTTATAATCACAACATAGTATTGGTGTCATATTTCCACTCAACCCAACTCTCAAAATCTCATTCAGTTTAATTTGACTACAATTAGAAAATATGATGTAGTGATGCCACAAGATCCATATTTGTTTTATACTGGCTCACCTGGATGTGGCCTCACAGGAACAAAAGATTTCCACACTCTCTACTCAATCAAAAGGGTCATGTTACATGACGAAAGGGTCAACAAAAGCGTGTGTAGACTTTTAGTGAGTCTTATCACTCACACTGTAATGAGATGAATATATATATATTTATTTAGCAGACACTAAAGTAACTTACAAAAGCAATTTGTCACAGATTATACACATACACACCCCTTTAGGGTAATACAAGACCACTTTATTTATTTGTTGACCATAATAATAAAAAAAAACTTTTATATTTAAATAAATTCTTTGATGAACAATGTTTAAAAGAACTATTTATTTTAAATAGAATTGCTTTGTAACGTTATAAATGTCTTTATCGTTTTTTTTATCAAGTTAATGTGTCCTTGCTGAATAAAAGTATTAATTTCTTTCAAAATAAATCTTACTGACCCCAAATTTTTGAATTGTAGTGTTTATCACTGGCAGATATTATAAAGAGCTGTCTTATTTGTCAACATTTTGGCTGTCTGTGAATACATGTATATTGGATTACAATACAAATTTCACTGTAAAGCTCCTAATGATTGTACGTATTGATTTCAGAGTCAGAGGTGCATCCCAGCCGGCTGCTGCTGTGGTGTCAGAAGCAGACCCAGGGCTACAGGGGGGTGGATGTGACTGACCTTACGACCTCCTGGAGGAGTGGCCTGGCTCTGTGCGCCCTCATTCACCATCAGCAGCCGGACCTCATGTGAGCGAGACCTAACACACAAACTGGCTATCATTTTCATTCAGTTCCATGATCGCACCCTCATACGGTTTGACAAATGCTCCATTATTTGGTGGCTCTTTGATCTAACGCGTGGCGGTACCTCCTTCTCTAAGCCATCAAAACAAGTTGTTTGCTTGTACTATAGGACAATAGCTTTGATATTTCAACTTCGCTTCCCCTGCAGCTTAGTGAAAGTAGTTCAGTTCACTTCAATAAGATGAATGTATCAAAAGGGACCAATAGGGAGGTGAAACATTTATTTGACCAAAAGAAAGAGGAAGAAAAACATGCTGTGTGATGTTCTTCCCGGACTCTGTAGAGGTTACATCATAATTTTCACACTTTCTGTCATAAATCTTGGCGTCCCTTCTGGATGTGAAAGAAAATGTGTTGGCAAGATGTGACTCATTATAAACCAGCTCATCCAATCATCACACCATTCTGTGAGAGGGTTTTTGACAAATATTATGCATCACCAAGGATACAGATTGCATGAACACAGGTTCTCAGCGCAGTGGAGTGGCATCCAGAACTGATATGGACTTTCTTGCCCCTGTTTTCCCTTATTTGTTCTGCCTATTTATCTCACTTTTGTGGTCTCTTCTTCCTCTCTTTATCTCTTCCTTCAGTGATTTTGACTCCCTGAACGAGGCAGATTGCGCTAAAAACAACCAGTTGGCATTTGACGTGGCAGAGAGGGAGTTTGGAATCCAGCCAGTCACCACAGGAAAGGAAATGAATGCCGAACGGGGGCCAGACAAGCTCATTATGGTGCTCTACCTCTCCAAATTTTACGAGATGTTCCGCAACTCGCCTCAATCCATCACAGGTAGAGCTTTCCATACTGTAGTACCTCGATAAAAAAACCCAAAGGAAGTTTGAAAGTCTTCATTTGGGTTGTATCAGTCATGTAGTATAATTCTGAAGCCTCAAATATGTCATAAATTGGGGAAGTCGTGGCCTAATGGTTAGAGAATGGTTAGAGTCGGACTCATAACCCAAAGGTTGTGGGTTCGAGTCTGAGTATGGGTCACCATACTTGGCCAAATGTCACGTCACTCATAAATGTACCTAGGGGTGGGCGATATACCGGTAGACACGATTAACTGGTAGAATTTTGTCAACCAGTAGAGATTTTGGACTTCCGCCACAAATAAATCAATGTATGGGAAACACTGGTAATGTAAATTGAAATATCGGAAATGTTTAAAAACCATATCACCGTAATTTGAAAAAAATTATATTGCAGTATATGATTGATTTTGAATTATTGTCAGCCCTAGCTAGTATTAGGTTTTTTGTGATATTGACGCTGGTGACAAGAATTATGAAATTTAAAAAAATCGATATCAGAAAGACCTTATTTCAAGCAGAAATAACTATATTGTGATATATATCATGACCGTGAAATAAAATCACTCATATCGTGATATAAGATTTTGGTCATATCGCCCAGCCCTAAATGTACTAATGTGCCTTAAAATGAAGTCTGGATTTAAAAAAAAAAGATCTGCCCAAAAACTCTTCTTAAATATAGTTTATTCCAAATAAAGTGTGTGACGCTCTCCAGTGCCACCATTTAAAGACTGTTAAAGCAGCTTGTGCATCCCTGGACCACCAAAAATTCAACATTTGTCATAAAACTCTGTTTTCAGATATAGATTAAATGTTGCATTGGGCAACTATCATGTTGAGGAAGAGTTTTTCATATATTGGCCTGGATAGTACTGCATGCTATCGCTTTGGATAAAAGCGTCTGCTAAATGATTCAATGTAAAAGCTGCATGACTCAGATTAAGGCATTTTTTTAAAATGTTGGCATACTGATGTAACTTACAGATTGTGAGGCTGTGTCTTTGCTGACAGTATGCATTTGTGCATCTGCTGTGCACGAGTTTTCTCATTTTGAGAATTCTCCAACTTAAAAGAAATTAAAAATAAAATTGTTACATTACCTTTAAAAAGCACGTAAGCTGCAGCGTTTTATAATGGTTCAAGGTGTTTAATTGAATTTAATAGGTAGAATTTAATATTTGCTGCTGGCAGTATTTTTTTTATTAGTGCATGCAATCTGAAAACAGTTTATGTAATAGTTAATTATATGAAAATTAAATAGTTATGCATTTTATAATATACAATTTGTATATATTTCATATATATATTATATTCTAATTATTATTATTATTATTATACATTTTTATGTTTAATCGTTTAATTTGTAATATAAGGAATTATTATATTTCCTGTTCATTTGCACACCAGAGTATGATACAAAACAAGATTTTTGTGTTGTGTTTGCAGGTGTACCCAAAGAGACTTATGCAAATAATAAAGACCATTCATCAAAGACCACAAACTCTCTTTATAGCTCGATAAATCAAGCACTGCCTCGGAAGAGAATCCCAAAGGTAGCATTTTTGTCCTATTTACTTAACTAATATAAACTGAGCCAACAGCTAAACCTAATAATGTAAAACACTACCACTTCTGTATCCCAAGGTTGATAAAAAGTTGGAAGACAATGACAACAAAAAGAGGAAGAAGGCCAGCAGTCATCTGGAGGAGGTATGTTAACTTGCCCTATATGTCTTCTTTCTAAACATCCACAGTTTATTACTTTGCTTCCTCTAATTGGTTTGTTTCTTCCCCCAGCTAATGCCCAATCAGAGTGCGCCCCCTGTAGGTGAGAGAGAGGAACAGAAGGAAAATAAGGTGCGCTCCATGGCAACTCAACTGCTGGCCAGGTTTGAGGAAAATGCACCAAGCTGTGGTGTGCGCAGACAGGTACGGCTGCACTTCTCTTTTCTTATTTATTTATTTTTTTAAAGCAGCCAGTGTCCATCAGGAGATATTACTACATCAATGATCCTCACGATCCCCTAAGCTTTAGCTGCTGAAAAGATAACAGGATGTATATTGAGCCTCTTTGTGGACTCTTCTTTTGTCTTGTAGTTGGTCGTTTTATTAATTCAGAAACATAGTCTGTAAACTGCTCATGTGGTACTGATACTCTGGATTCAGTAGAACGAGCAGCAGGGATCTCTGATCTAATCCAGATCCTGAACGTGCCTGTAATCCCATATGAATACCTGTCTTTGTACACTTTTGGATGCATGACAAGTGCATTTCAAAACATGACTTTTGTTTGTCAAAGAAGAAAGTGTAAGATTAATGCTGTGAATTTGGGGGGTTTTATTTTTGGTGGGTTGTTGGCAGAAAAAGCTTGACTTCGTTAACAATAGTTATTGCATTAAGTACACTTTTCTTTTACAGCATTTAATAATCTAGATTAATGTTATTTCTCAATATAAATTTTTTTATTATATAATTATCTAATTCAGGTATAAATTACCATATATTAATTTATTATGAGCTTACATGAATGACAATTGTATATTTATAGATTACATAAACCTTTATAATAATAAATTAAACATATGAACAATAGCGAAAGTAAATCCTCTGCTTCATCAGATATTTCGATTTGGATGCATGACAAGTGCATTTCAAAACATGACTTTTGTTTGTCAAAGAAGAAAGTGTAAGATTAATGCTGTGAATTTGGGGGGTTTTATTTTTGGTGGGTTGTTGGCAGAAAAAGCTTGACTTCGTTAACAATAGTTATTGCATTAAGTACACTTTTCTTTTACAGCATTTAATAATCTAGATTAATGTTATTTCTCAATATAAATTTTTTTATTATATAATTATCTAATTCAGGTATAAATTACCATATATTAATTTATTATGAGCTTACATGAATGACAATTGTATATTTATAGATTACATAAACCTTTATAATAATAAATTAAACATATGAACAATAGTATAATTATAAAGTATATTCAAATGTAGTGTATTAAATAATGTTATTGAGTTAAACTTTATTGTAAAGTGTTAACAGTGACTAATTGGTAACCCTTAAATTGACAAATGTTTTGCTAGTCAGTTTTAGAAAATTAAGATTAGCATAAAACTAACCACATGAACCAGTCAACAAAAACAAATAACATTTCTATTGTTCCTGGCACAAATTTTATGTAGGTTTGGAACAGATTTTCAGGAAGTATGCATAATCAGAAAAATGAATGTTTTGTCTTTAGTTGTCCTGCTGTTTTTTTTTTTTTTTCTGCAAGCTTTCCTTTTTGAGATTAGCAGTGGTCATTAAATGGTCTGGCTGCTCAATTATAGGCTTATAGGATGTAGGTCACTCATGGAGTGTTAATACTCCATAACTGAATATGAATAGCTAATGAACTTTCTTTGCAGTGCTGTCGAGATGATTATAAGCCAGTCTGTGGTTTTAAGCATTTAATGCTGTTTCATTCAGTTGTTCTGCTCTTACATTTACTTTCCTTTTTCTGTGGCTTTTCTAGCTTTCCTCTGATTTTCTCTTCCTTTCCGTCCTGTTTCTTTCTGCATTTTCTATCTCTTTCTATTTCCCCGGGTGCAATGTTACCGAGACTAGTCTGAATCGGAGACTGAATCTGAGACTGACTCTGTTGCTGACAAACCCGTATCTCTGGACATGACAGAAAACCCACGGTTTGCCAAACCTAAGAGCCAGCTCGCACCCCCTCCACCCAAACCAAAATGGCAGGTATGCTCCGTAGCGTGTGAAAGATCCGTCATTCCACATCACCCACAATCTCATGCAGTGTATTGATTCCATTATGTGTGTCCACTGCTAACGTGACGCACATCCACGACGCAACGTGATTTACACGAGTAGACAATGTCACTAGATCGACATTTCCTAGAATAACATTCCTATCAGTCAATCCTTCTGTATGGGTTTTCCACATTCAGTCGTTCATTGATGTTCCAGAAACGGCAGTGGATGCTGATCCAGGAACACGACCTACTTATGTAAATCGTGTTAAATGTCATTCGTGTGGTATGTTCTTTTTAGAACAGTCATTTAAATTTGGAATTTAGACACTTTTTAAAGACTATTTTATAGACCATTAAGATTATTTAATAAAAACAATTTAAAAAAAAAGTTAAATTTGTCACTTAAAACTAAAATCGATGCTACAAGTGAATTTAGGTATCACAACATTAAAATGTACCCACTGAAAAATGGATATTCATGTTGAGATTTGCAAAAAAAAATGATTAAATTAGTTTTAATTCAAACTGTTCCTGACTTTAAAAAAAAAAAAATTAGAGATGCAGCAATATATGCACCTGTGCCAAATATTTTCACGTTATGACTGATATTCAAATTGTATCAATTCTATTTTTTAAATAATTAGATTTCTTAATAAATAAAAAATGTAAAATGATTATTTCTTAAATTAAAACTTTCTTAATAAATTCAAAATAAAACACTCAAAAGTAAATTGATGCAACAAGTGGATGTAGACATCACAATTATTATGAAGAGTATGAAAATGGATATTTATTTTAAGATATTACTAAAGATTCTATTTAACGGTGTTATTAAATTAGTGTTTTTCTAAGATTCACTATAGGTTAGTAAGCATTATATGATCTAAATGTAAAAATAAAGAAAATGAGCATGAACAATTAAAATATGCAGTATTTACCAATACAATATATTTTTAAAAAATCTGTAATATCTGCTGATAACCGATATGGCACCAACATAAATCATGCATCCCTAATAATTTTTTTAATGAATCTGGCTTCAGATTTGACATTGTCACCCGTGTCCTTTCAGCCTTCTTCTTATCTTAGACTGCTGGAATCTCACACGAGGAATGAGACCCATCATTCTGACCACCGTTTACAAATCCAGCCCAGTCACGGTCACAAAGAAATCCAGTCCAACCACAAAAACACTGGCATTCACCATAGTCTCCAGCTAACTGAAATTCCCTCAAGTTATCAAAGCAGTGAGTCTCGTCCCAGATCTCCTCACATTCCCTTCAAAGTGCTTCAGTCGGATTCTCATCTGCCCTCATTGATGGCAGACCCCTCAGATTCACTCCCATCATTCACGCCAGCCCTGAGCGCCATGTTGCAGCGCCAACAGAAGCTGGAAGAGGAAGTCAGTCAGGTGAATGGTGTGATGCATCAATCCAAACCTATTACATTTCTAAAATAGGGGCCTGAATATCAAAAAACACTTAAACACCTTAGCAACAGCATAGTAACCAAGAATAACATTCCCAGCATGAGTTTTGCACGCACTCTAAATAATCGCTACTAATGTTTTCTGAACAATACAGAATTTATTTTAAAGAGGTCATGAACTGCCTTTATTCATTTGTACTGTTCTCTATACACTTGTGTTATCAAGATTTTTACATCAAAAAACATCATAATTTAGAAGTAATATGCTATTTTCTGTCCTATTTTGAGCCCCCTCATCAGAAAGCTCTGTAGGCGTGGCGGATTGTAAACTCGGAAGTGAACGCCCACTGCTATGATTAGCTAACAGCTGTGTATGTTTGACAGCCTACATCCTTTACAAATGGACACTGCTGTGATTTAGGTTTAAAACGCATAAATACTCAGTTCATATCAAACGATCTGTAATAACAGAAGCAATAGTGATCATGTAATAAAAACAGTTACTCTCACTTGTGTAGCGAATCAGCTCATGGGGAAATATGAATAATTAACCATAACTAGTTATAATTAACTATTCATATTTTAGATCCACTGTAGATATTTAGCTGTGGTACGACATTACTGTCGGATCCAATATAGTCAGCACAGCATCGTCTTTTAGTTTGTCTTTCTGAAAATCCTGCGTCGAATTGTGCCTTGTTTGTAAACGAATCTGCGGTAAAATGAAGTGAACAAAGGACCAAGTTCTTACTGACGCGGTCGGGAACTTCATCAAAAATAAACTTCATCCACTCTTTCTTAATGTTGGGATCAGAAGGAAGGCAATGCAATGTGTTTTTCCACAACTTGGCTCTGAACAGCGTCTTGTTGTTTTTGGGGCCATTTTTATCGTTTGATTTCTTTGTAGACCTGCGATTGTCTCTCTCGTTATCAGAATCAGAATGAGCTTTACTGCCAGGTATGTTTACACATACGAGGAATTTGTTTTCGTGACAGAAGCTTCCACAGTGTAACAGAATGACAGTGGCAGAACAAAAAAACACAGATAATAAAAAATAGAATAAGTAAATAAGGAATAAAAATATATAAATTGACAGTTGTATGTGCAGGTATATTACAATAGACAGTTTTTGTATGTACAGGTACTGAATATTATGTGCAAATTTGAGGTGTAGACTGAGTATGTGTGTTAGATAAATAAGTGTATGAGTGAATAAATAGTGTGTGTTCCACAGTTATTGTTAAGTGTTCATGAGATGGATTGCCTGAGGGAAGAAACTGTTCCTGTGTCTGGTCGTTCTGGTGCTCAGTGCTCTGTAGCGTCGACCAGATGGCAACAGTTCAAAGAGGGAGTGTGCTGGATGTGAGGGGTCCAGAGTTCGTTATCAGAATCAGAATGAGCTTTACTGCCAGGTATGTTTACACATACGAGGAATTTGTTTTCGTGACAGAAGCTTCCACAGTGTAACAGAATGACAGTGACAGAACAAAAAACACACAGATAATAAAAAATTTAAATAAATAAAAAAATTAAAAATAGAACAAGTAAATAAGGAATAAAAATATACAAATCGACAATTGTATGTACAGGTATATAACAATAGACAGTTGTATATACAGGTATATTATGTGCAAAAAAAATGTGTTATTTACCCAACTACATGCGCAAATCAGTTAGCAAAGCTAAACAGGCAGTGGTGTCGAAGCAGGCGTTGATGATCTTCTGCGGAGGCGGGGTTTAGCCACACTATTATGTCATAAAGTGGCACATTCCACAAGCTGTCATTTTGGCAGATTGGCTTCAATATAAGCTGTTTTTAGACTAACGAGAGAGTTTTGAGTTCTGAAACTTACAGAATGTTTTTATAGTACAATGACCTCTGTCAAAAGATCAAGGGAATTTTGGTTTCTCAGTTCATGACCCCTGTAAAAAGAAAAAAAAATTGGAAAGATCATTACGCCAATTTTTTTTTTTGCATAATTTTTTAGGTTAATTAAAATTCAAATAATTTATATTAATATTAATGCTTTCATTTCTTTAACTGCTCTTATTAAGCATAAGGACAGACTCTAGATCTTTTTCCCGATTTATTTTGAGCTTGCATGCCATGCATGAATATTTTACATTTATTATAGTAAACTTTGAATTATCTGTTTTCTTAAGGCCTAGATATACTTCAAGCGAAATCAAAGAACGAACTGATGTGGCGTAATTTCGAACAAAATCCGGCCAAAACGAAGATCGTTTTGAGAGTTCGAAATGTCTTGCCAAAGCAAACATTCCGGAAAAGTTTGTTCTGGCTGCAAAACACCTTCGTACTACCATTGGTCTGTGACAATTACGTCATAGTAGGTGTGCGCTGAGGCTCCGCCGCCTTTCACGCGGAACTCTTCTCTGGGTACATCTCGTCTGTCGAGTCCTTGGGGGTGAGATGTCCGCGCAGTGGAGAACCGCTTTATAGTAGCAAATTAAGTTGTGCTTCTGATGAGATGAGACACTGACACCGTTTCTCATGTTTAATACTGCTGCTTAATTTTAAGCAATATATTGAATAAAGTGCCATATAAATACACGTGACGTGACTTCACGGGAGTGCTAATTTGCAGAGCTCGTGCAAAAATACCCATGTTGCTATGATCAGATGCTTTTAATAAATTTTTGTTTATTTTGTTACTGAGAAGAAAGCGCGCAGCATGTATTTACTTATTCATATAACAGTCACTTTCATCAGAGTGGGCGGCGTCGGGATGTTCGATAACAGTATACCGCTGCTCACGTATTTCAAACTTCGTTTTACCCCTAAACGAAGAACGAAAGAACTTCGTTTTGAGTATATTGGGGCCTTTACTGCTACGGACAGTCATGGTTTTACTTCCTTTATCTCTTGTGATGCTTTCTGTCTCTTTTGCCTTTGAATACTTTGCAGAGAAAAGTGCAGGCTGAAATTACTAGACAGTTCGACAAAAAGAGCATTAAAGTGCGAGCTCAGCAACTGAGCCGCCTGTTCACTGGCAAACCACTTCAACCTCAGGTGAAAAGCAAAGACTTGTTTTTGGATTGCATCCATAATACTAGAGCATGATGGTACAGCCCTGCTTGCTGTGTGCTCACAAAACTTCAGCGGCTGGTTTAGTGTGTTTTAAGTACTAAGTACTTTGTGTTAAGTACTTTGTGTTGTGTTTTGGTTTTTGGTCAGAAAATAGCTGACATTTTCTATGACATTTTATTTTGGACACTTTCTGCTCCGTTTGTTTGTCCTTACTTGACCTCACAAGGGATTTTCCCTTGAAAGGACTTAAGAGGAACAAGGACTTAAATATGCCAACATTGGTGATCTCTCTCTTTGTCCATGCTTTATTTACAGTGACCTTTTCTTTTTCATCCTGACTTATATAATTATTAAATGCAAAAACTGAGGCAGAAGAAATGCAGAACAGTTTGTTTGGTCAGCACGCTTTCATTTTAGCAGAACTAATCAGGAACGCATAAAATAGTCACGTTGCGGTTGGCCACTTTGCTGAATGTAGTTCTCTGTTTCTGTCTGTCTGTATTTCCCATTTTCATTCTCTCCTATAGAGAGACCGATCCTCATGGTTTTTGACCAATATGAATATTGTAAGATATTCATAACTGATTTTAAAAAAATTATTCCTTTAGAATATTATAAAATATTATTAAAACACTAATATTTTTATAATTGTATTATATTTCTTACTGATTTAATTTTTTTATAACTATTTTATTTAAAATTGTATTAATATTTCAATATTAACTACACTCACAATAATAACAATAATAACTAATATTATATTTGTAGTAGTAGTATTTTGTTACTTTATAACAAAATATTTAATTTTATTTATTAATGACATTAATTATAAAAAGAGATTTAATATAATACATATTGATATTTTAATATCAACTACACAATAATATTATTGCTCAATATAGTTTATTATTGTTAGCAGTAATATTTTATTTATTATAACAATACATTTAAAATAATGCAGTATTTCAGTATTAGCTATAATATTAATTATTATTTATTAGTAGTAGTGGTAATTATTTATTTATTTTTAATCATTATTTTACATCTGTCCTTCTCTTCTGTCATCTTACAGTGTTCAGTTTCTGAATAATCTTTGGACTGTGATTTTATTTTTTAAAAATGTTTCTTGTTTTTCTATATCTTTGCTCTCCTGACACAGGCAGATGAAAGCTCTTCTGCTGTTTCTTCTTCTAAAGCTTTCTCAGTTCAGTCTATCCCAGAATGCTCTACTCTCTCCTGTCATCTGTCTCCTGTTCCTTCAGTCCAATACAAGCAGGTACAACATTGTGATTATACTAATAATAGTAATTAGAGGAGCTGTCCTGTTTCAGACTACATAAACACTCTGTGCTCTATCTGCACAGACTGTGGTTTGAGTCACATTACAGAATTAAAAAAAAAATGGTGTAAGTAATGTTGAAAGGCATTTTCCATTGGTTGTAGCGCAGTGAAGATTCAGAAACACAGCTGAACCACGTTCAGCACACAGATCACTCTGAAATCAGACGTGTAGAGTGCCTTGACCCCTCCAAACAGGTATTCAAGCAGCTATGTTGTGGCTGTGCGTCCTTGTACTGCCTGAATAAACATGTAGCAAAAACAAAACAACAAACCGACCTTAACCTTTGCATGTCATAAACACTTTTGGATGTTTTGCCATTAATAAAGCAGGTATGATTTCTTTCATATTTTGTACAATTCAAAAAATTAATTGATTTCTAACTAGGGCCAGTGTAAAAACGGTCACATTTTTTGCACGATTTACGTTATAAAATGAGCATGCTGTTCCTTTGAAGGAGCATGACATTTGCTACACATTGAATGCATGAAAGAACACAATTGTCATTTTTATGTAGTAGTTTAAGAGATCACAACACTTAAGATATGTTGCTTTTTCTTAAGTCCTTGAAACATGAAGAAATTAGATGGGCGGTAAAACGTATTATATTTCTATATAGTATTCCTTGTACTGTATATATTGTGTAGTTAGCGGAAATCTATTAAATAGGGCTATAGAAATAGTTTACAAATACAATTAAAGGGTACAAGAATACAATTAAATACTGTAAAATGTATTTAAAGTTTAATTTAAATTTGATTAAAGAGGGTCCACTAACTCGCTCTTTCATATCTGTATCATTCTCCACTATGGTTTGAATATCTACCACATTTCTTCTTTTTTTTTCTATTCTCTCTTTTCCCCTTCACTTCTTCACTGCTGATTGTCAGAGAACTGTGGGAAAGGTTTCCTCTGCTATTGGCGTTAAAGCAGCTACACTGGCCATCTTATATGAGACCGATCACAGACCTAACAACCCTTTTACCCTCTCGCCGGTAAGCACCTTGTGTCCTGGGACATGATGATGTTTAAAAGAGATGGTTATTTCTTCAGGCTACAGAATCCTCTGACGTTTTTAGAGGAGCCCTCATGTTCTTGTTTATGTGAATCAGAAGTCATTTCATTTTCCCAACAAAGATTTAGTCTGTATTGCAAAGTTACAGCCTCAGGATGTAGGCCAGTGTCATGAGGTTTTCTTTTATATCTCAGTTGTCTTCTGTTGTAAACTGGTGTGTTTTAATCTTGTGATCTGTAGAAAGTGGAAAGAAGTGCAAAAACTGCATGTTCTTTGTTGATGGCCACAACTGTGTGACATTTTCTGTAGTTAAGAAAGTCTTTGTCCACAGACAGATGCCAGAAGATGTGCAGAATCTGGGGTGGCAGACCTGCCAACCGGTGCGCATTTTGCGTAGCGGGTACGCATTTTGACCTTAAAGTACGCTGGTACGATTTGTCACTCTAAACTACGCAAAAACCCGGTGACCGGTCAACACGCCGTAAACAAGCAACAGAAAAAGATGGAGTTCAACCAATCAGAGTGTTTTCCGGGGGGGGGGGCAGTTTCTCTCCAAACTGGCTCTGTTTGTGTGTCCATGAGTCGTGCGTTGAGATGAGGAAACACGTGTATGGTATTTCCTGGAGTCGTGAGCTCTATTTCTTCGGTGATGCATATGTGGACTCTAGTATCCACTATGAATGAAACAGACATTACATGTGTTCATAGCACTAAATAATGGCCAATCTATAAAAATAATACTTCTCTCAAAATAAATTTAAGGTAGACATGTGATGATCCATGTTTATCAACAGTGTACAACAATGTACTGGAGTTTGTTTTTTTTAAATAGCATTTAAAATCGCTAAAAAGAACTCTGTTGTGCCAAACCATCAGAACCAAACTGAAAACTGTTTGAAAAACTGAGTTATTTTTTGAACCTTGGGCTAAATGTATTGTTGCATTCCTACTGAATATCACAAACTGAGTGCAGACTCCAAGTACTAACCTATGAAAAATATTTAACATGAAGTCTAGCATTTTGCACATTGTGCAATTACAATTTTGACATTAGCCATCAAGGAGCTTCAAGTAATGTAGGAATAGGCTATATGACCCCCGGTATCACCCCATCCCACCCCCCCATCCCCCTTACAGTTGGCAGGTCTGGGGTGGTAATATATATTTTTGTATCTGGCTAATCAAAGCACAAGCTTTTAGCCTTATTTTTCAGGACAATGCTTCATGCTTTGGCTTAAGTATTGATTTATTGACCGTTTAACTTAATAATGTGCCCTGTTGATCTTGTGTGATTGCACAGTGTGACACTGACCTGCTAACTTAAACTTGTGATATTTTACTGTGGTTCCTAGCAGGTTTTGTCCTAATTTTCTCTCTAAAACAGCTGATCAATGTGCTAATAATATGGCAAAATACTTCAGCATGCCATGTAACCCTCAAAATATGTTTAATTTGTTTAAATTTTATTTAAAAATTTTTATTTTTTTTTTTAAATTTATTAATTAATTTACATTTTTTATTTATTTTAATGTTTTTATTTGAATTAATTAATTTATCAATAACCTGTGTGTCTGATCTCATTGCCGTGTATTAGAACAATGTTATAACATCAAAATGTTGTTTGATCCCTTTTCCCACAAAAACCAATGATGTTGTGTTTCAGACCAGCAAGCGGAAGGAGTTTCCTCAGGGTCTGGGCGGCAGCGACACCTGTCACTTCTGTAAGAAGCGTGTGTACATAATGGAGCGGCTCAGTGCAGAGGGATACTTCTTCCACAGAGAGTGTTTCCGCTGTAACATCTGTGGTTGCACATTGCGTCTGGGTGGACATGCCTTCGACTCCATCCAAGGTTTGTTAGAGTGACATGGTGTTTATAATGCCATTTTTAGTCATTAGACTGCTACATATAGTATTGAATTGAAAAATTATTTACTTGCAGGCACTTTTTACTGCAAGCTGCACTTTTCTCAGCGAAAAATCAGCAGTAGGCATCCAAGAGGAGAGGTAATATTAATACATTTTATTAAACGGATGTAGTCAACCAATAAATCAGACAGTTATACAGTTAAGAATTGGTTATACAAAAACATTTGACTTCAGACTGCTGCGATAGACCAATAATAATTGATTTAATAAAATTAAATTTGTAAATTTTCATTTACATCTGATTTATTATCAGAATAATCAGTCATTTAATAACAATGCACACAAATGCATGCAAAACTGTTGACATTAAGTGAGCACATTATTAATATTATTGTTATTAATAATAATAATTATTATTATAACTTAATTATAAAAGCTATTTTTATTATTTATAATAGTATATAATTGTTGTTTTTGATTATTATAGTTATTAATAATCAATATAATCTAGATTTTTATAGAATAATACATTTAGAATAATTTGTATTCAGTCATTTATTATTATTAATATTATTATTATTATTATTAATAATAATAATACCTATTACTAATAATAGTAATAATAGTAATAATCATTATTATTATTATAACTTAATTATAAAAGCTATTTTTATTATTTATAATAGTATATAATTAGTTATTATTAGTAATATAATTATTAGTTATAGCTGGTGTTTTTAATTATTATTATTAATCAAGATAATCAAATAATAATAGTAATAACATTAATAATGATAGTAATATTAATTAATAATAGTAATAATTTAGATAATCTAGATCGGTTAATTATTATGCTTAGTCATGTTTTCTTTATTACTTTTTGTTTATAATAATTAGTTATTAGTAATATAATTATTTGTTATTATTATATCACTAATATATACAGCATGTCTGTGTATGATCAATCTACTTGCAATGTCCTATGCACATTTGATATATACATTAGAAGTAACTTTTAGTGTACTGTAATTGTTACAGTCTTCTGTTTTATTTATCTCATCATCATTGTCGCACAGATCAATGGAGTTGGCAGACCCTCGTCCAGCGCTAGTTCTGATTACACTGCCACAGACGGCCTCCGCGGCCCGTCCTCAGGTACCCTGACTTCCCTTATTAGGAAAAGTCTTCACTGGCCACTGCACGTGGGCCGCGCACTGTTCGGTACGCCCCACCAGCTTGCCCGCTGGATGTATAAGGCGGCCCGGGCCGTAGCGCTACACATCAGAGAGCGCCAGGAGGACTATGTATTCCTTTATGAGCTACTAAGTCTGGGTGTGCCCTTCATATACGTGCTGCATGAGATGACGGGCCAGATGAGCCGAGAGGCCATCGCTTCCTCCCCAGAGAGCATGATGGAGTCAGTCGAGCCGTACCGGGGGCTCCAACTGTCTTAAAAGGTCCTCGGTACTGCTAGACTGATGAGTGAAGGGGATTCCTAAACTCTGTAGACCAGGCCAGTCCCTTACACTGAAATGCTTAGTTTATTGCTTATAATATAGGTTATTTCTTGGTACTTTTAACAGTGTTATGTCATTTGTATGAGAAACTGAATTTTAGACTTCTTAAAGGGACAGTTCAGCCAAAATAACACATTTAAATTTCTCATCATTTACTCAGCCTCATTTCATTCCAAACCTGTATCACTGACTTTCTTCTGCGAAACACAAAAGAAGATATTTTGACAAATGAAAAGTGTGTTTTTGTACATACAGTGAAAGTCAATGGGGTCCAATGGACCCCGTTGACCTTCACAGTACCGACAAAAACATCATCAGCATTCATCAAAATATGTCATTTTGTATTCTGCAAATGAAAGTAAGTCATACAGGTTTGGAATGACATGAGTGAGTAAATGATGAAAGAATTATTATTTTGGGTGAACTGTCCCTTTAAGACTGGGCTATGGCCCTACAGGGTTTAAGAAACATTCAGTGTTCGTAAATATTCTTCTGATTGAAAATGTAAGACCCAAAGCTGATAAGAGCACTTTACTGAGAAGGGTTGTGCTGCTTTATCCTAACTGCCTGAAACTGCCGGTTAACGTGAATGCAACATTTTGCATTCTGCAGGTTTGCATCTGCCCTTGTTATGTGCAATGGAATTGCCAAACAGTATTAAAATGCATTTTGACGACTTTGTTAATTAGGAAATATGATAGGCTTCCTGTATTTTTTTTTGATGTTGAAATGTTCGCTAATTTTGTAGTTTAAGGCCTTTTGGGGAATCTAGATTATAACTAGCTTATAACCAAAATTGTGGGGGGGGGGGGGGGGGTTTTCTTTGTGATGTAATGCAAATAGTCTTTATTGGTGAAATGCGTCATTCTGCATTGATTTCTAATGTAAAAGTGGCGGAAATGTACTTCGGGATCACTGTGAATAGGGTACCTCCAATTGTTAAATCAATCGGTGTTCAAACATTCCACTAAATGTGTGGTGTAAACTTTAAAAATGTTTTTTTTTTTTTTTTTCTTGCACTGATTTATCAGTGTTTAAGTGTACGGAACATGCATAATTATAGTTCTGGAAAATTCACCCTTGATTTTAGTGCTATTTCTCTCTCAATTTCCTTCTTTCTCTTCATATTTCATTCTTCCCATCCTTCTCTACATCATACATAGTCTGTTTCAAGTTTCCAATGCTCCAATCCTTGATTGGCTGAACCGTGAGAGCAGGAACGCGATTGGCCTGCATGGGTCAGGTGATCTGGTTATTTTGCTTCCCACTGCATATCCCTTGACTATATTATATATTATATTAACCCCATTATTGTGATTGCATGCAGCATGGGTCTAATGTATGAACATTTATTATGAGACATCACAAACATCATCATAGTCCTTCACCGAAAGACGGCATTGCGTTTGTTTGTACCCAGAGCTAACATACTAACAGAAGTGCACTTGTACGCTTGACTATCTCAGCATGCTTTTTGAATGCACTCGTTTTTCTAGTACATGGCGTCCTGTAAAGTAATCTCCCTTCTTGTTTCTCTCCGTGTTTGTCCTCTCTGTTGCAGAGGCTGCTTTACTATCCCAATCCCATGTAAGAGCACTCTCTTGTTCCTTTTCCTAAAAACAAACTGAAGTCGTCATATAAGACTTAGTTTTGCACAATTTTTAAAGTCCTTTGAGGATTGTTTTTCGTAAATTTTAGCTTACTATTTCTTTGTATATTTCACAATGAAAGACTGTTTCTCTTAAATTATAATATATTTAAAGCCTGTACGCATAAAATAAATTCATTTTTAAATCTAAAAGTTTGTTTCTGCCTTTTTGTCTGCCGATTCAGTGAGCTTCCTGTGTAACCCCCAGCAAAAAAGCATTTGTATTCATCAGTGCAATGATGAAACATTCTATACAAATATTTACTACCAAGCTGATATGAAATGCAACACAACTATCAATTTTCATTATAGGCCTAAAAAAATAATTCTGTGCCAGATATATCACACCCACGATATACAAATGTAACCCTCCCCATTTTTTGTGTTTTCACTTTTCACACTATTTATCTTCACATCCCACGTTTTAAAAGCATTGGGACTACAACAAACCATTTTTAATAAATATATTTAGTACATACATCGGACCCATTTTAAATTGTCTGAATTCTTGTATAGTCCAACTTAACTTGGTTCTTTTGGGTCTTTTCTATCCTGTCCTTTTATTTGCTTTTTGTAGGTGACTGTACTGCCTCAACAAAAGGTCTGCATGAATTTTTAACCACCATGTTCTGTTGAAGATGGATAGATAGATAGATAGATAGATACATCTATCAACTATATTAGAATTTTACATACTATAACAGGGCTCGCAAAATTTCTAAATCCCTGGTAGCCCTTCGGGCAGGCACTCTCCAGATTTTGGTAGCCCTTGATAAATTTAACTAGCCCACAAAAAAATACAAAATTGGATGGGAGTCTAAATGTTAATCAAAAACATTTTCAAAACTCAAATATCAAGGAATTTACAATTTACAGGGTATATGCAGAATTTATAAAACCAATTTAAGACCTGCACAAATAAAAATACCGTATGAGCAGGGTAGGGCAATGTCTATGGTCACATATTAAACCATAAATCATTACATGATTTTCAGTTCAGATACAGGTGTTCACGAAACAAATAGTCTTACAAATGATAAACATCACATTTCAGCCTTTACACCATTTTTAAGAACAGGGATGAGTCAACCGTATTAAAATTATAATATTAAAGCATAAATATATCTTTCTTAATTGTTTAGACTTTTAGAAGGCACATTAACTTCTTTCACATTTACAACTACGTGTTTGCTGCGTGAAAATAAGAGTCGATTTTCGCATTGATCTGAACAAAAACAGCAGCCGGGCTTATTGAGAATGCAAATTCATTCTCTGCCAGCAGGAGGTGCTTTCGGCAGAAATACAGCGGTTTCCCCGGTAACGGCTGTAAACGAAGCGTGCTACTTTATCAGGTATTACAGGTAAGATGAAAGGAAAATGCCATCGAAACTTTTCTGAAGACAGTCTGTTGCCTTCAGAGATACATTCATATAAAAACACCCGCGCCACGTTTTGATCCCTGTATTTAAGATGACAGTCGGGCAGGGAGCTGATACATTTCGGTAGCCTGACTGGAAGACACAATAGCACGGGACGTTGGGCTAACAGCAATTTTGCGAGCCCTGCTGTAAACAAATATATTTATCAAGGCCTTGCGGTCTCAAACGACGCAAACAGAACATGAGGGTTAAATTGATTTGATATATATCCATGGTTCATTTAATGAATTCAATTGGCTAATTTGTATAGGCAAAATATAAAGATGAAACATTTGCAAATAGTTTTGTGTTTTGTGTAAGATTCAAAAATGGGTCAAAAATGAATGACAAAGCTCTCATAAACACATTTGAAGATCTCTTGCTATGTCTTCAACTTATTTGACACAAAAAGTATTGCAGTATTGAGTGCTGTATTCAGTTTATACGTGAATGACTGTCATAGAGTGTGCTAGAGGGAAAGAGCTAAATAGTGAGGGAGACTATTGAAAAGCACTCATCAAAACAGACATTCATATGGGGGGTGTCTCAAGGTAATAATGTCTGCTTAACATGAATAAAAAGCTGAGAAATTAGTTCATATTTAGCCATGTGTTCAGATATACTGTCATCTTATGAAAGTCAGGGACCTTATACTGTCATTTTAAACAGGAATTCAGCTTTTACAAACCATTTTATTAAAGTGATGAACTAAAGACTGCCATGTAACATTTTACAAGTTATAAATTAGTTACTTTTCCTCTTCAGGGATATGTGTAGTAATAATAATAAAGTAAATTAATAAAACAATTTAATATTATTTATTATTATTAATAGTAGTAGTCGTTGTTGTTGTTGTTGTGCTGGTGTTATACAGACATTAATGTACGTAATCATTTCTGAGTATGGGAGCAGGGTCTGGTTTATAAATTCAGTTTGTCATATGTGTGTGCGTGGACCCTGCAGGAGCTGAATCAGACTCCAGAACTCAGAATGACCCGAAGGGTTTGTGGAACCCCAGCGCTCCTGCTGAGAGTGCAGAGGCGCAGGTCCTCTCAGACTCAACCGAGGTCATAAACATGAGGTTCGTCCACAATATTCACTTTACATGTTAATGTCTAACAATGAAACTTTTCATTTACCCTGACAAGGAACTTGTGTCGCTTGGCTAGTCACTAATAATATATGTGAAAGCTTTCGTCTTAAGTCTTTTATCTGCATATTTTGGTGTAGTGAAGTCAAAGGTTCATCTAAAAAGCCCGATCCTGCAGATTCTGCACCTGCGTGTCCCGATTCTCCACTGCAGAAAGGTCAGTCAAAACTTATATTTTCCTCACAGTCACAGGATCCATTATTATTGTCTCTTACAGTCACCCCCAAAATGTATTTGGACACTTAAAGATTTCAAGTCACATATAGAAGGGCCCGTCCATTTCATGCATACATTAAGGATGGTTGATGTGTCCAAACTCCAAAAGAGTACATACTTTAAGGGCGTAGTATAAGTAGGCAAACTGGGACACAGCATGTGTCTTTTCTCACACAGCTCTCCTCAACAAAGGCTGCAACATCAACTACAGAGTCTGACTGCCCCCTAATGGAGGACAAGAAGTCAACACCCATGGAAAAAATCCCAAAAATCCCTCTATATCGCGCACATTTTCTTCCCGAATCCCCAAAACCCAGCACTTCCTCTCCAGAGCCAGTCGTCACAGCCGTTCCCTCAGGAGCGAACTCCCTCAGCCCCAAGAACAAGCTCATGCTGTCTTTATCTGAAAAGGAGAAGCTGCTCAACTGGGACTTGGCCGCTCCTGGAAAGCCCTCAAATTCTGAAGGAGAACAAATTGACAGAACCTCAACGAATCCTCCAAATGATCAACCAGAACCAGAAGCTCCACCAAAACCAAGCCGTCCTCAACCTAAACCCACTCCTCCACTCTTTGGCTTCCAACAGTGGGCCAGCAGTCTCCGGAAGTCCTTATCCTCCAGCAAAGGGAACAACCCTGTGGTCCTCAGGAGAAACCGGCCTTTGAAAGCCAGGCCGTTGTCTGAGGGGTCCTTCAACCTCAGCGGCTTGTTTGGCAGCAGCATTCGGAGCAACCAGGATGAGGAACACAGCAACACGTCTACCGATGGCAGTCAATCCAGTGTGAGGACAGGAAGTGAGCTCACCACGTTACTGGAGCAGGTGGCTCTCAGCTCCAAAACCCACAAGGCCACAAAAGATGATATGGCCTCCTTACCACCCAGAAAACTCAATTTCTTCTCCTCTCTGCGCATTAAGAGGAACGAAGGAGCAGATCAGATCAAAGGAGACAACCAGAAGGACATCTTGACCATTCTTACCAGGTTCAGAAGCAAAGGTAATTACAGGTTAAAGTGACCTTTAACACTCAACTGGTTTTAGAGCGATTTAAAAACACTACATTAAAATGATAAAGAAAAATAAAAGCACAGTGTCTAATAGGTTCTGCAACGCATTCATTCATCTGAATACAATTTCACGTCTTTATCATGTAAATGTATGACACGATATAAGTTTGGGGTTGGTAAGTTATTTTAATGTTTATGAAAAAAGTCTCTTATGCTTTGTCTCTACCGCTAGAAGGCCAAAAGTTACATAGTGTAGCAATAAATAAATCATGAGTTTACCCCAGACGGTGAACATCAGCACTCGTCCTCACATGCTCTTTATTTCTAAATGATTAACGTTTTGATGCCACTCGCCGTCTGCATGAAGTACGGTGTGTGCACAAACCCATGGTGCTGCTTGTGTTAACTTCATCGTTATATGCAGCGCTGTTATCTCTTATATTATAATCTACTGGCTTTTATTATATTCCTTGCATGCAATATTCAGGTAACTGTGGGACGTGCCGCTTTAATCTTGTGATGTATCGAAACATTTCTAGAGGCCAACGTAAGGAGAAAAGTATGATATCCATACCACATTGTTTGCAGCTCATAGTTTTGATAGCATAGTGATGGTTTAATAAACAGTCTAATTTCAAATAATGGATCTGTTCTGATGATCTGGTTCTTGTACACTGATGTTCATAATCAGCTAAACACTTTGATATTTACAATACACCTCTTTTCATGCCACTGTTACTGTATTTTTTAGGCCAATACAAGTGCTGTATAGATCTACACCATATCAGTTATTGGTCCGTTTTTTTAATATTTACTTATTTTTTTAATCTTTCTCAAGCAATATTGGGTTTGTTTGTTTATTTAGGGTATTTTGTGTGTGTGTGTGTGTGTGTGTTCACTACTGTGTGTGCGCACTTGGATGGGATAAATGCAGAGCACAAATTCTGAGTATGGGTCACCATATTTGGCCACATGTCAATTCACTTTTACTAAATCCCATTTGTTTTTAAATGTGCCATCACCTAAAAAAAAAAAGTGTTGTTCTTCAATTATGATTAGCCAATATCAGATTTTTATTTATTTACTGATAATTTCCTATTTTTTTAAATGTGCCTTTTTTAAATTAGTAATTAACATTTTGTTGTTATAATAATAATAATAATAACAGTTATTATTATTACTATTATTAATTAATTTATTATTTTAATGATTAAAATTCTTATCCGCCACTTATATATACAGTATATTGCTACTAACTCATAAATTCCTATTTTTTAAATATGCCTTAATATCCCTAAAATATTTTTTTTATTATTATTATTATTATTATTATTATTGACAGCCCATATTGGGTTTTTATTTGTTTATTTTTATTTCAGTATTTGCTGATAATCCCTTAATAATAAACAATTAGCTATTTCAACGATACATTATTGTTGTGGGTTTGTATCCACAGCTTCTTCTCAGCAACAACAACAACCAGAGTCCAACTCATCTAGTGAAGAGGAACAGGATCCAGACTCACAAAGGGTAAACGCTCCTCTACTTTTCTTAAAGAAACACCACTAATGGTATTCCAACAATTTGTGTGAAATCTACATTTCAAACACACAGTCCCAGTTTGAACCATCACTTTTTTGTTCATTATTTTCTATAAAGACCTACAGTGACACCTCCCAGAAGAAAAAAGAGAAAACAGCCGTCCAACAAACCAAGAGAGATCAGCTGAAAATACTTCACAGGGCTCAGGTATGCCACACAGACACACATATGAGTCATAGAATGATATGGTTTTCAAACAAATGTCATTAATAAATAATATTAAGCTAAAGTAATATCCCTTGTTCAGAAAAAAACCCCACATTTAGTTATGAACTACTGTGAAGTATATCTGTTTTAGAAATATGAATCGCATATATTCCAGTTACTGTTATCTGATGTGATTGGCAGGTAATCCAGAGACAGCTGGAGGAAGTTGAGGAGAAGCAGAGAGCTTTGGAGGAGAAAGGTGTGGCTCTGGAGAAGATCCTCAGAGGAGAAACTGGTACAGCACATTCTAACACTGTCACACGTTATTACATCTGAAATATATTATTTAAAGTGCCTCATTATCAGTCCCATTGTCCTTGCATGCCCCCCGTCTCCACCCACTCACTCTGTGATGGTGATATGATTATTTAAAGGGGTGTTATGACACTTAGGACTTTTATTTCGGTTGCTGACAGCTATGCGAATGAAGTGCGTAATTTCGCAAAGAGATTTTGCAACCTTATTTCCACAAACTTGTTCTGGAATTAATTATTATATTATTATTATATACTTTATTGGTTTTGTTTTACCCTGTTTATTTCATGTCACACAGGAAGTCACAGGGAGTGACTATGTGGACTTCCTGTTATTCTTCTTAGATTATTTGATAATGACAAACTAAGATTTTAAACCATAATATATTTCTTTCTTTCTTTCTTTTTTATTATATTTTAATACTTTTAATACTTTTTTAAATGTATTAGAATAAAAAAAATAAACATTATTCTGTGTGTGTGTGTGTGTGTGTGTGTGTGTGTGTGCGCGTTTTTGTGACAAATGAGGACATACATTTGTATAATGACAAAGGTATGACATAGGTATTACAAGGAGAAGGTGACTTTTCAGGACATTACCCCATGTTCCCACTTTTCAAAACGCTTATAAATCACACAGAATGGAGTGTATTGAAAATCTGAAATAGCAGAAAGTTTCCTGTGAGGGGTAGGTTTAGGGGTAGGGTTGGTAAAGGGCAATAGAATATACGGTCTGTACATTAATAAAACCATTATGCCTATGGGATGTCCCAACTTTTCACAAAAGCAAACGTGTGTGTGTGTGTGTGTGTGTGTGTATATATATATATATGTAATTACTTATAATTATGTATTTAATTACTTACAATTATTGGTATCTATTTTATGTGAGTTTGTAGCATGTATTTTTAATTTTGTATTTTAATATGGCTAATTCTTGTGTATGTATTGTCAATGTATTGTGGTGATATATGTACATAATTACAAATATAAAATAACAATTAAAAAAAAGAAAATGTAAAACTACAAAATTAAAAATACACATACAGTACATTTACATTTTATGTGTGCTTTTAATTGTAATATTTAATTTAACATTATTATTGTATTGTGTATGTATTGTATTTAATTTTGTATTTTAATAATTCATTTACTTTTATATTATTTATAAATTAATTCATTTATTTTTATTTTATATTATTATAGTTAATTTATTTTTTATTTAGTTATTTATTGTATGTTTTATTGTATCGAGTACAATGTATTGTGATTGTCCATAGAAAGATTTTGAACCACTTCATGACATGAATACTACGTCAGGACTAACCGCTGAATCCATATGGCATGTACACAAAGACAACCTGCAAATAAGCTGCTGCCTTATTGTTTGACTTTTTTTTTAGAGGGGGAAAATTAGAGATTCAAATAAGTGATTTGCATTCGAACTAAATGGCCATTTAGAGTCAAAATTATGTTGAAATGACTGCAGAGGTAATGGTTTCTGTAAATAGAGAAAGGGAAAAGTGCCTCAGAAATGAGCTGAAAATGTGATGTTTCATTATTTTGGTGAATGTTGATCTACGTGGGGATTATTGAAGGCAACAAGTCGTTCTGATGAAAAAAGCCAAATCGCAGCAGCCTTTTAACATACTGCATAATGAGTTTATAATCATATTTTGAAAGCTTTAAGCTCTAATTATAAGGACTGTAAATTGAATTTTAACATTATCTAGAAATTCACTTCTGCTTCTACAGAAATTCCTCTTTTGACGTCCTACAACTTAGACAGGCATTGTTAGGTATTAAGAAACCAAATGGAAATACTAGGAAATTAAGAGATGGAACTTTGCTCCTAGATTTGTCATTGAAGGCTGCCATGGTATTAATGCATAAAGCAAGGAAATGCATTGCTTTAAGTGTCATGTGACATCTTATTCCTGGCTTTGTTTCGTCAAAGTACCTTTTTCTCTTTCACAATGCCACAAGGGTGCAGGCAGTACAGAAGATGTCCCTTTTGTGAAGTGGACAGCAAGGATACAGTCCTTGCTCGGCATGTTTACGTGTCTTTGTGTGGATAATTGTATTAAGATGAGGGACTGCGGGGTGCGCTTTTTTTGTTAAATAGGTGATTTGTTAACTCACATTTGCGGCCTCCAAATGGATAGAGAGTTGGTGTATGTAGTAGACAATGCTCTGAAACTGTCAATGTGGGAGACTTGAACATTGTGTGGGACTATATGAGTTTATTAGCTAAATAGTACTTGGCTTCTGTTTTAAAGTATTCCATTTTGATTTTATTTTTTGTTAATCACAAATGACTGGAAAAGTCATTAACTAATAGTGGATGTCTATCACTAGAATCAGAAGCTTGGGACTCGTATCACATACTGTCTGTCAATCATATGTTTAGGAACTAATTCTATCTGACACACCATCACAGGACTGAGTCATATTAGTCGTGTTATAGATTTCAGTGTTCAGTCAATTTTGACTTATGTCGTGTTCACAGGTGATGACTCCACAGATGAGACCACGCTACTGCAAACCTGGTTCAAACTGGTCCTGGAGAAGAACAAACTGTCGCGATACGAGTCTGAAATCATGATCTTGTAAGTACTGTGACCCCTGTGGTTTTTTTAATCAAGGTTTTCATACATTTCTTACACATGCTCTTGTCTCTAGTACTGAAGAACTGGAGTTGGAGGACACTCAAAGTCGGCTACAGCAAGACCTTAGACGGCGAATGGACACTGAAGGTGTGTTTGTTATTATGCATATAATGCTGGTCAAAAGTTTGGAAGAATTGTTTTTTTGTTTTTTTAGAACTGTCTTATGCTCACCAATGCTGCATTATTTGATCAAAAAAGAAAAAACAGTAGTGTTGTGAAATATTATAATTAAAAATAAATGTTTTCTATTTGAATATATAATTTGAATCTATTGGAAATTATATATATATATATATATATATATATATATAT